TTCCCCCAAACTTGAATTAATGTGTTGAATCTAGACTTTGCTTGTTTATACCGCAGTTTAAAGGGAGTTATAAAAGTTATACGAGTGGATATAAACATACATTAATGGATAGATACGAGAGAAGAATACAATTCGATACGAATTTTTTTTTTTTAATGTATGACTGACTGTAAAGCTTGGTTAAACGGTCGAATATATAATGACAAATATATATTTTTTTAATAACACAGTTTTAATCATCAGTCTGTGAGGGCTGATACAGATTTACTATAGTAATACTTCTTTCTGACATGTAGCATGATTTAATTCATATAAGATGGTTAACTTCTACATACGTCTAATACATGTTATGCGAACGGGAACATACATCTAATATAATCAAAGTTGATCGTTGTAAAGTATAATACCGTGTGTATTATTTCATCTAGGCCGTTAGGATCTACCGCTGTAAGCAAACACATTTCTCAGGCAGAGACTTATACTTTACGGTTTGTTTTCCACCTTATCCACTGAATGCTGTTGTTGTCACACTTAAGTATGTACACTTTGTTTAGTGAATTCAAAAGGTAGCATATTCAAGCAGCCAACGAAGAAAAACTATGAATCTTATTAAAACTACCGAATCGAAGTGTTCAAGCTATGGGGTAGTTTATCTTGTGTCGCTAAAATCTTAGTCAGACAATAAACCTAATACTATGTTTTCATAGAAACGTATTTTTTTTTAGATTATTTTCAAATAATAGTTATAGAGATATCTAAGAGATATATAGAGTTATCTAACATTAGAACTCTAGGGGAAGGGCACACGTAATACAAAGGATTATTATATTGAACTAGAGGCGTCGCTAGGCGAGGGCGGGGGTGCAAATTGCACCGGGTGATAACATTAAGGGGGGGGGGTGACACCAAGACAAAAAAATGCAAGATGTAGAAGAAATATATATTTTTCGAGTTCAATGAGTGGTTCATTAGAATTAAAAATTATTTTAAGGACATAATTACAATCCTAACGAGGGAGGGATGGGTTACACCATGACGTTAACATGCAAGCTATAGAGAAAACAACGCTACACCCAGCTGTATTAACATGCCGACTATAGACAAAACATTATTGGTATTAGATGTGAGCACTTTAAAATTGTACCGGGGGGGGGGGGGGCAATATATTCAAAATAAGGGGAGTGACACCATAAGTTGCCACACCGGGTAACACCCAACCTGGCGTTGCCACTGACTGAAACTGATGGAATACACGTTAAACTGCTTTCGATAGGGCAGACGTTAGATGTCCCATAAGTGTATTCCTAAGCTATATTTGAACTTGCTTGTTTATTTTTCGTAGTGGTTTTAAAGTTATGAAATGCAGCGGGTCGATTTAGCATGCAATTAATGTTATTTTGGTAGTTGTCCATTTAACAATCGATGGGTCTAGTATTTAAAGAAGCATTTTTTTTGGTCAAATCTAACATGTTTTAAAGGTCTATTGTAGAAATGAAGACAATTTAAAATGCACCCATTTAAGGGGAACATCACCCAAGATAAATTCCCAATTATTCTAATTTTTTATTTTCATGTTTTCATTCTGTGTATAATATTTTTTCTATGTTTTGATGTGTTATTTGAATTGTGAATGTTGGAGTGTCAAATCGGTGGCTAACTATTTCAATGTTGATGTTAAGCCCAGAAATATTAAACACTTTTGTTTTATTTCATAAAACTAATATATTCATTTAGCATAATCGTTATATCAAGCTATCCGTCGCATTTTACAATACTGTCTATAAATGCAATAAAAAAATAATAAAAAACGTTTTAATAACAAGCTTTTATGTAATAATGCAGTAAAAAGTAGAAAATAAATTATAGACTGCGTATTGTCCTAAATTGTTTGCTTCTAAGATTTTGTGAAGGTATTTGTGAGCTACACGGTCGAAAGCTTTTTCTTGATCTAAATTTAGTATGCATGCTTGAGTGTTTTTCTCGTGTGTGTAGTGGAAGATGTCTATAATTAAGTGATTGTGATTTTGTATGTTCCTACCTGTGATGTTGCATTATTGATCTACATTTATAATTTTATGCAAGTGTGGTTCAATTTTGGAGACTAAAGCTTTGGTTAGGATTTTGGAATCAGTGTTTAAGAGAGAGATAGGTCTATAGTTTTGGGTTAGTTTAGGATCGGTTATGGGTTTGCGTATTAATGTTATGTATGATCTGTTGAAATTTTCGTGGCATTGTTCTAGCAGAAACATTTCTCTAAAGGTATCTAAAAAGGAGGGGAGTTAGGTCGGCTGAAAAGACTTTAAAAAATTGCTTTGTATGTTGAGGGTTATGATTGTAAGGTAACTTACACTGCTTTTAACATCTGGTCTGCCTTAGTCTGTTTTTGGATTAGTGGAGGCGGTGTAAAAGTTTTCCTTTTTGTTGTGGTTCTTTCCTTTGTCGTTAGGCGTGTTGGGGTTGGTCGTGTAGGGCTATAGATGGTGTCGGTTTCAATGATGTGTTCATTTTCTTTGCTACGAAAACTATCTTTTTACTTTCTCGTATATACGAAGTATAGAGAAAGTCTTGTAATCGTGCAAAAAAAAACGAGATTTTTACAAATCTCGACGTTTTACACCTCACTGATACGGAAAAACATAATATTGCAATCTTGTCCGTATGTCTGTGTGTGTGTCTGTGTGTGTGTCTGTGTGTGTAACCTTGAGTTATGTTACAGCTAGGTTGATGAAATTTCGTATATATGTATTTTATCAAAATTGTAGATACGTATAAACTTTTGAGCGATTTCCGATAACCAGAAGTGGTATTTTTTCTACTTTGATTTTTTCAAAAGCGTATAACGTGAGTATTATTTCAAATAGATATATGAAATTTCACATGTAAGTAAAAGATCTAATTATCTACCTTTTGTAAAATTTTGAGTAATTTCCATTGACTGGAAGTACTAATTTACGCTATTTCTCAAAAAACGCATGTAAATTTATAAAGTACTGATAATATTGCGCACTATTATGCACATTTCATTTGGCGTTCACTTGGTGTGCAATTCTTTTTTCTATGAGATTTTATTCTATTTTAAAAACTTTTAGTGTTTAAAATGGAGTTCCCATTTCCTGTTGTTTTATATAAAAATATTCGAGAAAGTTTTGGGGAGATCACTCCCGGTTTATTTATTTTTTTCCGTGAAGGCTTATTTCTTTTCCCCTGAACTTTTGTCCATTCATCTTCTGTTGTAGAGGCTGTAGCTGTAGCTGATTCTTGGGCTGGTTCTTGGGCTGGTTCAATTTTAGCGGCGTCGTCAGACACATCTTCGCTGTCGTCAATAAGTAGATCATTGTAGTAATAAGTTCCTTCGTTGTCTATATATATATATATATATATATATATATATATATATATATATATATATATATATATATATATATATATATATATATATATATATATATATATATTGTATCTCTCCCTTACATAGAGGCTTCGGCAGGCGGCCGGTCCATGTTTGGTTGTGCCACAAACGGGGCATATCGACCTCCTGCCGTTGAGTTGTAGTAACAGGGTGTAGGTTTCCCCACCGAATTCTAGGTCAATGTAATGGGGTAGATCCTTTAGGGGAGCGTTTGGGCTGAAATCGACTGCCCACTTGTCGCTTTTGCCAATTTTGAGAGTTGACAAAATTGTGCCTGGTTCTGATATTTCAATCATAATTTTGTTGATCATAATGGTAGGGGGGTACCCATTTTAGGTGACCCCTCTGGCCATTTTTATCCACATGCAACAGCAACATGCTACTACAATAATCTGAATGTTCACATATCACTGCCAGATGTAGAGAGTTATACATTTCATCAGAGTTTAGTGAGACAAACCATTCGCTTGGTTTACCTAAGTTGTAGACATTAATAATTTGAGAACGGTTTATATTCAGTTCACAAGTAAACAGATCCTCTAAGATAAACTCATCGAGTCGACGTTCTTTTTTTCCTTTAATCACCACACGTAAAGTGTTTTTGGGATACCGCCCAGGTGCAGACCCCGTAAGCGTGATTTTTTTGAAGAGTGTACTTACAGGTACAGGTACATGGACCGTTCTCTCAATTTGCAACACATCTCCGGTTTCTTTCCCACTTTGAAGAACATTTACAGTTTCATTTGAATTTTGTTAATTGTAAAGTTGTTTATTTGTATCTTTTACTACTCTTTACAGTGTCAAGATTGTTGTAAACTAATGAGTTTTTATTAACCTGAATGATTAATATAAATATGACTGTGCAAATGTGTGATATAGATAATGCACTAAAATATTTAAATACCGTATATTTAGTAAGTTTGCATAATTTGGATATTATGCTTTCTTGTATTTGTTCATGTCCAATTCTAATTAAATAACATTTCAATATTATGTTTTCTTTTCTTTACAGATGTTTTTGTTTAAAGAAGTAATTTAATAATTAAGTCTAGAGTGCAACTTTTTTGAGATCTTGGCATTTATAAACAAGCATTAATTTTACTTAATGCAATCATAAAATCAATAACTTTGGTTAAGTTTACAGTTTTCATAAAATTGAAATCAGTTTGGTTTAGATTTCTCAACTTTGATGCAAATAGAATATGAGATCAGTTTAGTTTTGTAGTTTAACCATGGTTTGTAAATCTTTTATGTTGTAACTTTGTGAGCAAAACTTACACTAAATGGAATTCTTAACAGGTTAATTCACAAATCTAACCACATTCATCCATGTATGTTTTGTACCTCCAGAGGTAATACTGTATGGAATTAATTCACTTATTTATAGATAATTTTATCCTTCTCTATGGATAAAACCAAACATTGGCGATTTAATCTCATGGTTGTAATTTACATCTTGCTTCCTTATTCTTTACAACATCAATATGTTTTCTGCCCTTGAAATCTGTTATACTGGAAGCTTTGGGTTCACTGCTCATTAGGATGTCTACAGTATCAATGTGTCCATTTACTGCAGCCTTGTGTAATGGTGTTATTCCATCACAATCAACTGCCAAAGGATCTGCCCATGTTGCAAGAGTAAACTCACAATATTTGCATGGCCCATATATGCAGCTCTGTGCAGTGGGGTGGCTCTGCTGGATTTGGTGGCGACATTCACATCAGCATGATGGTCAAGCAATGTCTGACATACTTGGATGTGCCCATTTCTGCAGGCATAGTGCAAAGCGGTAAAGCCCGACTTGTCAGCTTTGTTAACTACTAATCCGCCACTCAAAGCTAATTTATGTTCGACACCTAAGTTATCTCCAGTTTGAGCAGATGTCCATATCCCCTTTTCAAAGCCTAATTCGTCTAGGGTTTGATGTTCTGATGGGTTGGAGACTTCAATGTGGCATTTGCAACTTGGTGATTCTTTGCAACTATGGACGCCGCTATGTTCAGACATATTTCATACAAAGTTTATTACAATATTAAAACTCAACATAACTACACGTTCAACAATTTCCACGCTAAATTTCTGATGCATTTATTTAACTTTTGAAAGCTATAAGAACATTAGAGCTAGCAAATTTTTAACTAAGCTCTGGGAGAGTCATTTTTAACATCACAAAATTATTCAATATTTTTCTGCCACTGCTAACACTGGAATTATTGATCAAATATAAGGATCAATGCGTTTTATAACAGTAGAAACAAAAAGATATGCATGGCAAAAATAAGTTCCCTGGGCTTGTAATAAAATTAAATATTTTCACTACAGTGAGGAAAAAATTACTTGATAACTTTAATTTAATGTACTTTATAAATTATTAAAATAAAAGATCGACAAAGAGTTCGACCAAAATGCTGTTGAAACTGGACTATAAGTTTATATGTAAATATGTATCTACTAAAGTTATGGGTTTAAAGCTAAGAATAATATTAATTCCTCTGAAATATCAAAAGTGTAGACTAATAAACACAAACAATTTATTTTTAAACAATAAAGTGTTACAATAAATCAATTATATTTCTTTATAACTATTGAATTATTGAATTGTTCTAAATTAGAATAATTGTGAACTTAAAATTCGAGTTATTTCAATAAAATTTATTGCATTAAATATAATGGGAAATAACTCTTACTCTAACGACACGCTTATATACCTAATATTATTATTATACTCGAAAAAATAAAAATAAAAAATAAAAGCATGTATTATTCATTTTATGTGTGTTTTTGTCTTTATTTTGTTCTTTTCCTGCTAAGTATTTTTAATATGTCTTTAATTTATTCTAATGTGTGTTGTCAGACCCCGTCAGATCTCACGCAAGTGTCAACTATGTCAGTAAAATACACGTAACAGACACTCGCGATAAGGTTAGGCTTGTCAGGACATGATCTAAAGGAAGTTGATATTTTTATAGAAAAAGGTATGTTATCGGCAACTCAAACACCTGACTAACCAAACATAGAACTGTGTATAATATGCAGCCTTTCACCAAACAAATTTGTTGAATTTATAACTTAGGAATAATGCACACATGTATGTCTTTATAAAAAGTGTTTCATAAACATGTATTAACTATTGAATGGTTTATAGTTTCTCGCTAACAATAAATATGTTTTCATATACACGATTTATTAGAATGTTGTGAAGATAACATGAAGATGTTTACTTTTAATACCAACATACTCCATTCTAAATGAACGATACCTTGTTGGGATCTTACAAAAAATGTAGGCCCTACATTGCTAATACCAACTCAGTCCTTCCTAAATGAACGCTAATGCTTGGCGGTCATCATTCTGAGATGTACATATTATTTACAGAATAAAGGGTAGGTTTTGTGTGTGTGTGTGGGGGGGGGGGGTTGTATCCAGTGTTTCTTCCAGACTTTTTTTTCCGATGGGGCACTTGAAATCTTCGGGGGGCGGTGAATTTTCTTCGGGGGGGGGGGGGGCGGACACTGTTAAAAGTATATATTTTCTATATAAATTATATAAATTTCATTTCGTTCGGGGGGGGGGGGGGGGGGGGCGGTAAAAATTTTTCGGGGGGGCGGTAAAAAATTTTCGGGGGGGCTAAGCCCCCCCCCCCAAAGAGATGCCTGGAAGAAACTGGTTGTATCCTGGAACATTAGTGCTTTGCTATTTCTGAAAGATAAAAGTTATAAATTTGAATATAATAATACACGTGGTGGGTTATAGTAAACTTTATCTTAGCGAATTTGGCTCCAAAAAGTTGGTATTAGTTATACATGAAATATACATGAAACACAATATAATATACACAATACGTGATCATTAGCATTCCCAATTTTCATGTTTTCGATTTGCACCCCCCCTCTCGAGTTTTTCTCTATATATTTTGCTATTTTATGCCTTGGTGTCACCCTTCTAAATGGTGTCACCCGGTGCGGTCCGCACCCCCCCCCCCCCTCGCTACGCCCCTGAGTTAATGATATAATTAGTATTGTTAGTTGGGATTTAAGTGGGAATAAAGGTAAATAACTGCATGCAGATTAAATAACTCACTATAAAACTTGTTTGCTTCCAGTATAGGTGGAGAAAGAGTGAAAAACAAATACGACTTATGTGGGTTTCCCCGTGTCAGAGAGAAACATACTGACTGTGCATACAAGTATGAGACAAGAAAATTTAGAATTTAAATAAATTATAAACATAATCAATAAGAGGTTATTGACATTTATTTTCTGTCTACCCGACTCAAACCTAAAACATTAAAGGAATGAGATTAGTGTAGAATGGGCAGATACTTAGGTTGTAATTATGTCACCAAGTCTTTTGGTAACTACTGCTCGGAATATGGCATCTATGTCAGTGTCGCTGTACGTCTTTGATTCAAATTTACTTTTGTTTCTCGTGGTCCATACTGTCTGTCTAAAAATAGCTGTAGCGGTAATTTTATTGTCATTGTCTGTTTTATTATTGGATTTGTGTATGTAGTTTAGGATGATTGCTTTGTTTAAGGTATCAGTATTGGAAGTTTCTAAAATTGATCCTAGGGTTTGTGTTATGTACGAAGTCATCAGTATGGTTAGGATTGATGGTGGTGATGACTGCAGTGAGAGGTTAAACAGTTGTGTGGCGAACTAGACACTGTATATTACTTGATTGTTGAAGAAGACACCAACACAATTTCAGCTGAACAACTTTAATAACATAGATAATGGAACTACACCCTATATGGTAGTCTTACTATCGTCTAAGGAAGCAGAACTAGTTCATTAATAGTGGCTGGCCTAATAGGGGCCAGCCCTACCACACTTTACAAGAACACAAAAAAAACACGACTACATTCTAACCAGCCTAACGTTCAACTGTCCTATCTTTCTGGCCCAAGCTTGACCCTGGGTTCCTTAACCCCTGCATGACCCCAGCATTCCAGCGAGGGGGAGGGACGGGCGCCAGCAAATGCTAGGTGGGACTGATGCATTGTGTCCCAGTTCAGGGGGGGAGGGGAGCTGCGGAGGGGCAGTACACGCTGTCACAGTTCAGGTGTAGGGCAGGAGGGGGTGGGGTAGATACCCACTAGCGGTGGGACGAGGGGGGGGGGGGTTGGACTCATAACATCTCCCCTCTCCTTTGACAAGCTGGCAAAGCCAGCGAGGCTTACACTCTACATACATGATCTATCACATGCAACAAACTACAAACTAATACACTAAGAGCAGTAATAACATATGTAGGAAAGCAACACTTCAAACATCTAAGTACGATAAAAAATAATAAAGCTTCCTCAATAGGTGACACTACTGTGTCTTAACTCTAAACAATCAACAGCTAACAAAGTTCAATAATAAATGCTACTGGGTAATGCTAAATCTAAAGCAGTTTGTACAACATGATATAGTTCGTGTCTAGAATTTGTCGCTATAGCATATACAAATGAACTCTTTCATGTCATCTATTTCAGTAGTTTTTTTTTTTTTTTTTAAACTGTACGACTCTATGTATCTAATGGGGAAAAAAAATGGTTATAGATCTATAAATTTCAGCGTAATATAAGGTTAAGAAATCCTCAATATAGGCTACCACAAGCAACACTTCATTATTTCTCCAAGATAAAACTTCACAAGTTGGTAAAACTAAGTAATATGGCCACAATTATAATTAGTTTCTCTACAACATACAAAATATCTTAGAGGAATATTTTCCAACAAAACCCAAAAAAATCAATAGACAAGATATACTCGGCAACACATCATCGAGATACCATCATAAAAACCCATTAAAAGCATAGACTACATCATCAGTCTCTAAACATCATCTCATTCTTGTCCTATCTATCTATCTAGCGGAAACTCAACCGTCGCAAGCTTACCGTCAAGTAAGTGGAACGATTGACCGCTTCACACATCATCGTCCTATCTAGCTATCTAGCGGTAACTCAACCGTCACAAGCTTACCGTCATGTAAGTGGATCGATTGACCGCTTCAAAATTTCACAACATAAAGAAACAATAACTCTAAGCTACAGGGTTCAATCATCACACGATTAAGAAAATAAATCCTCCAAGGATAGTGTATATCATAGGCATCTCGTTATTTAAACATTTTGTCAACTGGTTGATAATAGAAAATTTTTAACAAATCAGGTTATAAAAATTATGATTGTCTTGTAAAGGATCCTAACTTTATGATTGGTATATAAGCTTTTAGCTGGTACATCGAAAAAATAAAGACAGAAATGATTTAAAAGTGCATTGATTAAATGTAAACAATCTCTAGCACAACACAAAATTCAATCTAAAAAAAAAAAATTCAACAAACAATCCTTAAATGCAAACTTCTAACAATTGCAGCTAATAGACCTAAACTAAAGAATTATAGACTTAACTGACTGCTGGACTTTGGCATACGACTTACAGAAGAGGAACAACGCCTTTTATTATTGTTACAACAAATTGGAGCTTAACATTTCTAAATCTACATTCGTCGGCTTGGACATCTGGAACTGCTGTGAGATGACATCGACACATGAACACTTCATTTTAACATCATTAGGGTAGGGTACTTCATTACTTCATATCGTCATTAGGGGTACACGAATACTCCATATCATCACGGGACATCAGGGGTGTAGGGATATTTCACATCATCATGGGTGGAGGGGTACTTCATATCATAACAGTTCAGATGCCATTAGACTATAAACAATGACGATTTAGTCAGTAGTCACTCTCACTAATCACTGTCACTTACTTCAATGTTGGAAAAATAAATTCTTCAATTCTAACAAGTCACCAAAGGCAATTAAAGTAGGTAGTCCAAGCTAATCAAAGTCCTAATTCATGTTATCTCAGAAATTGCACAAAACTTGACATTAACTAATAGTGACCGTTCTGTCTCACGGATTTTGAAACAAAAGTTCCATCCACTTATGTAGATCTACGTAAAACTTGACAACAACGAACTTGACGACAAACAGAGACGATGTG